GGGCCCTTCAGAGGCACCGCCCTTTCTCCTTCCAGATGCTTCCGGGAAGATTGTCGTCTCTCAAGGTAGCGCGCTCACGACACCTCACCAAAAGAGAGGACTCTCAAGTTGGACTCACTTCCTCACGGTAAGAAGAGATTGAGAGAGTAGATAAGGTAAGGGATCAACATACCTGGAGATAGCTGCCCCCAACCACAGATTTTCTCACCAATTGAGCTGACGTTGCATTTGATGATTGGTCATGACCTCGGTACCACCCACAACGCAATGCAGTGCCACCTTAGTCCAATGCCACATCAGCATGCTCTCATCATCAATCAAACATTCCGCTGTATACCGCGGCATACACTGCCGTAAAAGCCTTCCGGTGCACCCCTCTCTACCCAGGGCGTGCACCTATAGTAGCCTGACGTCACAAGTACCCACTGCGAAGAAGCATCATCAACGCACCAAGTCTGTATAACGCCAGCGTGCCAAAGGTAAGTGGCGATCAAACTAGCTCCGATACCAAATTGCAAGGAACATGAGTATGGACGAAGCACAGAAATCCAGAATGCAAAATTACACTGAAGTTCAAGTAGTCAAAGCCAAAGCAGATAGCACATGGAACCGAGCAACCATCCAATTCAGAATGATACAGAAGAATCGTGAGTCAATGTCCATGCCCAACAGGGCAACACCACCAGCATAACCCAAATGTAGCTCTCTCTTGTGAATGGCGCCAGGCGCCCTATCTACTCTACAGCCTATCCTACAACTACAACAATGAACAGCAACCAGACAACTTGACTACCAGCGAGTGATGATGTCAACACCAATGCCGACCTCCACCTCCCCCAGGTACGTGTCCTCCTACCCACACTCTCCCTTGTTACCCACACAACGCCCTTCACCTCCGAAGACCACCTTCGCCCTTCACCTCTCCTACACCCTCATGCGGCCCGGCTATGGCCGCCAGTGCCWTGCATGCAGGCAGCGCCCTACCGCCTAGCACTGGCCTGCTTGCTCTTAGCGCAGCGCTGCTTTGCACAGCGCAACACATGCATCCGCGCAGCGTGCCCGCAAGTGCCAGCATTGGCCAAGATACTGCTGCCTCGCCCTGCTTGCCTATATGCCAATGCAGCATGTGGGCAGCCTCCCTTCAGCCTGTGACCGGGACCCAGAGGCTGAAGCCAACTCGATACAGTTGGGCCCCGGGGCAATGCAGTTGCGCCTCTTTCATCAAGGCCTGTGGCCAGATTCAGATAGTGGGCCGATTTCCCTTTGGCATTTTCGGCCTCTCTACCCAGCATGCATTGTCGGCCTCACGTTCGAGTGCCCAGGGCCTAACTAACTCAGAGGCCCTGGGCTTTCAGCATTTGCTGAAATCCGAGACTCGGTGCACACCAACCAACTGGCGTGCTGCAACTGTATGAACCCCACTTCGTGAAATGTTGGCACAGAGGGCTCTTGTTGATTTGCTGGCCCCCCTTCGCTTAGGGCGGGCACGAGGCTTGCTGGGGCCTTAGCCCAGAACATGTACATCATGGCAAGGCCCCTACTTGAGGGCTCAATCCTCACAATAGTTGTTCTTCGGATTTGTTGGATTTGTTTTTCATTTTTATTTTTATTTGTTGGGACCTTCCCTGGTCCTTGCACGGTCGGGACGGCTGGTAGAACAGGGTGACCCGGGCAGCCCGGCTGGTAGCCTAGGCCACTAATCAAAAAAAGAAAAGTTCGAACTTTTGTAGAGAAAAATCGAGAAAATAAAAATCCCCAGTTTTGCAAGTTCAGTAGGTTTGCCATCCTCCCTTGAAGTGTGAAATTGTCAATGAGAAAAAAAATTCGAACTTTCAGCCTGCCAATGATTATCAAATAGTGAAAATCATAGAACTGGGAATACCAAGAATTCCGAAAAGAAAATAAAAAATATTTGGAATTACTTTAGATGAAAGTACGCGCAGTTTGGAAAACGGTAACTGCAAAAGGGAATTCCCGTACCGTTTTCAAAAAAAATGAATTTCAAAAAAAAAAAAAAAAAGATTTCCAAATAACGAGAAATTGCAAAAGGAAATCAAAATTTCAAAAAAAAAATATTCCGAATTTCCAATGACGAAATTTCGAATTTTCAAAAGAAAAACGAAACGAAAATTTCAAGTATTGCGCTATGCGATTTTCCACAACAGACAAAGCGGGAAAACAACATCCAAAAAAAGAAAAAAAAACTCTATTTTCGACAGTGAGGTCAAAATCGTGATTTTGGGTGCTAATTAGTGTGCTCTAATCAATAAATCAATCAATAAAGACTAATCAACTAATTAGTCCCCGCACACATGTCCGATCAGGTTGTCCTGATTCACGTACGATGTTCCGATACCAACTCTTACATGCCCAGTTGGGGAATGTATGTAAAGCCAAGGATCTGCAATGTGATGAAAAGGAGTGAATGGATGATGCAATGCTAGTGGAATCTCAACAAGAAGTGTACATCCTAATACATACAAAAATGGTGCTTTGTAGCGCAGTGGAAGACTTAGATATAAGTCCTGACCTGACCAGGACTGACCTCTATCGCGTGGTGTGAGGTAGCGCAGCAGAATGCTAGAATACAAATGACTAGCCCAATCAATGTCGCAACGCCGACCAACCATACATCATCCTCGTCACAAGGTGTGAAGGGGCCTGGCGCTACACACAGGAAGAATGCGCCAGGTCCAGATCATGCACAGACGAAGAGGGAATCGGGCGAAGAAGAGGGGCGGGAGATGGGAATGTTGTCAACACCAAGTCTTCGTTACAAGTCCCAAATAATCCCTCGTCAAAATGTCTGAAGCCCGATGTGGAGTCTGGATCCAAATGTCACCAATCCCGCTCTCTCGTAGTCTGCTGATGCAGTGAAGTCAGGTATCGAGAGGGTGAGAGGGAGATGGTGGACCGAGAAGAGGAAGAAGAAGAACTCTCTCTCTCCCATGTGTTAGGGACTAACCTTTCAAGATAGTGCTGTGTTGCAGGTTCCTCGAAGACGAAGCTGGAGCTATGGTGCTGCAAGTAAGTCTCCCTTGCCTCCGCCCAATCTCTCTCTCTCTCCAGTACCATAGCTCCTACTAGCGCCCAGCGCTGAAGACTACTGCCAACGCTACTACTACTACTACTGCAGCGCTCCTCCAGAGTGCTGCTGCGAAATCCTGAAGACTACCTCCTGCCTCCTGAACTGCACGTGAAGTGCTTGGAAAGTCCCTATGAACTACCTGCAGCCCGTAGGGCGGGCCAGTCCTATATACTGCTGGCCCGTCCAGAAGGCTGCTCTTGCCAAGGCCAAAACGTGCCAGACCGTGGCGTTGAAGCTCAACCGAAGGTTGTCTTGAAAATGGGCCCAAAATGGCCTGTGCTAAAACCCTGGTCTGGTGCTAAAGTTTCAGGGCAGGTCGATCTTACGAGGGCCTGAAAATGGCCCTCCGTTTCAGGCTGAAAAAACTCAAGGTCTGGAAGGCCCTGTTTTAGGCTGAAACGACACAGGGCCAGTAGGCCCTTGTTTTCAGGCTTTCAAGCTGAAACGACACAGGGCCTATAGGCCCCTTGTTTTTAGGCTTTCAGGCTGAAAACAACACGGGTCTGACAATGGCTCGTGCAGCCTGTTGCAGGCGCAGCATGTAACACTCCCCCCTCCTTATGAAGTCAAGCCA